CCTGCGCACGGTGAGGCAGTGCAGGATTAAACAACAAACATCTTATTATCAGACAGAAGAACAATTGAAAGGCTCAGTGTCCGACCTAGTGATGAGATATTGCGGGTTTTAATAGAACTGGCGTCGCTAACCGAACTCTTCTACTTCGCTCCGTGAAGTCACGGACTTTAAGCGAATTCGAGATTTCTCGAGATCCTGGTTGGGTGACCGTCTGCGAACTCCGAGATCTAACGGCGCCGAGCTCTTGGCGGAAGGGAGAAATACAATGGGACTTGCCTAATATAATAACTGAGGATTACTTTATGTCAGGCGCTCGACGCCCAACAAGGGTTCAGAGATGCGTTGCGTTGACGAAGATATAACCAAATTGTGAAAAAAACACAATTTTTTAATATAACTCAATGTATTTTAAAACTTTTAAACACAGTACTCTTGCTTATAACTCCATACTGAATTTAAATAACACTACACTAAAAGAATCATATTTGAAATTTTATTTAAAGCTAATAAATATATTTCACAAAAATTTTGGATAGCCTCTAGCACTGAACCCTTCAATTATTTAGGAATCTCACTGCATGTAAAATTCCCGCTAATATTATGACGCACAGAGGTGCATGAAGCTCATTGGCTGAAGTCGAATGGGCTGCGCAGCGGCTCACCCAAGTTATTACATCATGGTTACAGATGGTAGATTTTAGCATTTGCTACAAGTCGAAAAGTTACCAAACGCTGAAAAAGTCAATAATTGTACGTTTTATGGTCGGTGCAGTATGCTTCTAAAAGTATTTAATCTACGATAAAATGTGAAATCGGTCTTAAAATGCGAAATCGCACGAAACATTTGGAACGATTCTCGATTGTCTTTCGTCTTGACGACGTCTATGTTTATTATTTACAAACAAGACTGTTACGTCACTGACTGGAATCCAATTATATTTGTACAAGTAAGATATTTCTAGTTATTTGATATTTAAATTACATTCCTTTACTTGACGTATTGCGTTTCGCTTACGGCGTGTTAAAAATAGCATACGAAACACGGGCGCGAGTTAATTCTCGTACTCGTCTCTCGGACTCGGTACGCTCGGACTTGTGCGTCAATAACTCGCCTTGTGCGTCAATCACCTGTTTCGCGCTCTTGTTACGCAAACTATTGTCTCCAAGAGTCCTCTCTTAATAATAATTTTCTCAAAAATTAATGCTACAAAATGCTAAATATTAATTTTTGCAACGTTATAAAATGATATGGGCTTGTTTTCAAAATACGATTTTCTTAAATTTAAAGTGCTAAATTCTACCATCAGTAAGCATGATACATTGCGTGAAATATTACATTATGAAACGATGATGTCATAATGGGTGGTAATATACACGAGTGTAATATTATGATGCAAGCGATGAACAAGCGAATATCGTGTAAACTTTACACTAGTGTTAATACCCTTTCTATCTAGATTCATACGGTACTTCATCTACGACTTGTAATAATTTTTATAAGTTAAATTTTTACACTGAATCGTTTCGTGACAGCTGACATGCAGGATTCAGCCAACGCCACCTAGCGGAGTTTCCTATCCTGCCGCAGGTGGCATTGGTTTACTACGCTAGTCAAATAGGACCAAAGGGGTATTACGATCCAATTTATTTTAAATAATATTCCACGTAAAACATTACTACTAATAAAAGAAATGAAAACCGACCAAACTGTCAATACAATATTAAGTGCAATTTTGATGTACACAACCGAACGAAACATTTGCTAGATAGATTCTAAATGTTTAGTTGTCAATACTTGTTTTGTAAACTTCTCTGTGATTGGTCAAGAACCTGTACCGTAATGAGTATCATAATGCAACATGTCGGGACAGGATTATCCAAAGGGAGCAGCAAAAGAACCGTTTGCGTCTTACCTCCGGTGGCGCGGGGCGCGGCCACGGGCTGCCCCGCCGCCTCGTCGGGCGCGTCGGGGCCCGGGGGCGGGCTGCCCAGGGACGCGCGCCAGCCCCGGCGCAGCGACCCCGTGGCGCTGGCAGCCAGCGACGCGATGCGCGGGCCCAGACTGCCCCGCGGCAGGCTGCGGAAGGCGCGCGCGCGGCCCTCGCCGTCGCCGCCCTCCGGCCCCGCCTCGCCCGCCGCGCCGCCGCCCTCGTCTGCGCACACACACACACACGCGCACGCGTTAGCTCAGAGGCCGACTTGCAAGGCAGCAACTGGAACCTTTAATGTGGTTGCGGGCCATGTTTATGTTACTCGGGCGGCCCATACCTCCCTTCCCCTTATTGTTGATCTCGGCTGCTCTGAAATAAGGCACGGGGAGGTAGGAGCCACGTGTGATACCAGGCCGCACCATTCAGAACGCAGTGAAACACATAGGGATGGTTTTGAATTTCTCAATTAAGTAGAAAACATTCTTAAATCTAAACAACCTATTTTTACAGTAAGTGGGGGGGGGGGTGATCCCGACAGGGCGATATGTTCTCGTCCAGCACGGATGCAAGGGACTTCCACTTCTGACCGATAACCTTTCGCGGGTCGTAATAAATGGAACCGCGGGCCGCATGCGGCCCACTTGCCAGCAGGTGCACAACCCTGAGTGAGTGACAACTGTTGCAAGGTTGATTGATTGATGTTTCCGGGCACGTCTACTGTAGTGACAGGCTGAGGTGGCTCAGGGCATCAACTGATGTTGGTGATGTCTCGACGGTGGCACTATTTTCGACACACACGGCTAGATAGCTATGCTGAATTTAGTCGCTATCTGGAGGAGAATTTTAGAGGCTGGTTGCTGTGATCGGGAATTTTCCGTGGTTTCTCCGATTAACACTAAGGGAATGCCGGAGCAGTATTCTAACAGTCGGGCCACGGACCGTGGGCGATGGTTCATTCCCATTTCCTAGTATATTTTCCTTTTACACACACACACACACACACACACACACACACACACACACACACACAGACACTTACAAGCTCTATACTACTAGTTATGTCGGGACACCACATGGAACTTAGAGCTTGTCACGGTGCCCCGCAAGTGGGAGATACCTGGATAGGAAAACCGGAACTAACCGACATGAAAGTCGCCGCCAGATTATAGCCATTAATCCCATTAGTGAAGTGAATGATTTATCCCAAGAGGTAGCAGTGATTCCCCTGCTAGAATGTAGGATCCGGCGCCTACCTACACGTCGGCATGCAAGCTATTTCCCTCACCAGATATCTCCTCCCAGAGGAACGTTGACCCGGTATATCAAGCTCTAAGCTCCCGTCTGGTCTCCCGACATGTCATGGTAATATAGGATATGTGTGCTAGTGAGGAATCAGGATAGCGCAAGAAAGAGAAAGGAAAGATGATGGGCAGTCCATGGCCCGTTTTTTACAATACTGCTCTGGCATCCACCCGGTATCGATTGAAGAAACACCGGAACACAATCGACCAGTGCAGCCGGCCGATAGAATTCTCCTCCAGACGGCGGCTGAAGTCCGCCTAGCTATCTTGCTACTGTAGAAAATCCGCCACCATCTGAACTCGGTGGAGTCCTAGGACCTCCTGGTCAGAGCGGCAATGCTAGCTCCGAGCTGAACGCAACCGGTAAAAAGAAAGGCGCTCAGCTGCTGGAGAGAGTACCCGATGTTTCTTTTTACTGAGAAAAATACTTGTTCGTCGCCCGCCTAAAAAAATTGCCTCAACTCCACCCAACTACGTACGGCTTTTGGACGAATACTCCGCCCTGTCCGTCGACACGAATTCACCAATTGCCTTAAAGACGAAGGAACCCAGCGAATGCGAATCCCACCCCCCCCCGACGCCGATTCACGGGCCATTGTGCGCGCGCCGCCCATTCGTGTCGCCGCCCCAGATCCGCGCGCCGTCCGTCCGGTTGGAAGAGCCGCGCTGGCCCTCGGTTGCCGAAAAGGCGGCGAAGGCGTGGCGCCCCCGCCCATCGCGGGGAAAGCCGTCTCGCCCCCGGTGCGGCGCCGGCACACGCCAACCCGAGACGCTATCGCTCCGACCGGACAGCTCTTGATCAACAGGCCGGGATTTAAATGGCATTAAGAATGTTAATATCTAGTTTATTACGATGCTATACGTATCTCTGGTTTTTCAAAAGATACACATTCATAATGTGTTGGATTGCTTGATTACTAAAGGCGCGTCTACTGCTAAGGTCATTATTCCCGTAAGTGTAGTGCAAGCGTTTTGTCGCGAGAGGTGGCAGTGATCTTCACCCGCTGGTTGGCAAGATCCAGCGCCGACCTACCGTCGGATAGCGAGGTTTTATCCAACCAGGTACGTCTCACCAACGTGGTACCACCCCAGCCGGGACAAACTCTTAGCTGCCGACTGGTCTCCCGTCATGTGTGGGAGTGTGGTGCATGTAAGTGGGTATAAGGTGGGGAGGATAATGTCGGGGAATGAAAGATTTCGCGCGGACAGTGGTCCGTTTGTTTGGGTACTGCTCCGACATTCGCCTGGTGTTGATCTGACAAACCACGGAAAACTATCGATCAGAAAACTATCGAGCATTCGTCCGTAGACAGCGACTGAATTCGACCTAGCTCTCCAGCTAGTGTGGAAAATTCTGCGACGGTCGGGACTCAAACCATAGGACCTCCTAATCAGAGGCTTTGCAGTAACATCAACTGATGCCCTGATCCACTAGTCACAGTGCGTTGGAGCCAAGGCGGACAACTGCGAATTTCCCGCGTGGGGAAAGCCGCCCCGCCCCCGGCGCGGCGCCGCCACTCGCCAATTCGATTC